TCTGTGTGGAAGTCTCGGAACATACATTTCTCGCTAAATTTAGCGGGGAATCAGAACTGATGTTTCTGGCCACAAGACGTCAATTTTTTCCTCAAAATTTAGAGATAAAACTGAAATGACAAGTCACCTGCTGTCGATTCTTTCAAAGCGTATAGGTCACGTAACATCACTTTACCTCATTGTCCCCTCCGTAAGTAGCAAAACAAAATCGGAAAGACACTTAAGATGGTTAAAGTGCAGCGATGCGAAAGCATTCCTACACGCAGCGCATTCCTACAAGCAGCGCGCAACGTGTTCCTTTTGCACACGGCGTTCCGGCGGTGACATAGTGCTCCCCCACTGCGCAAGCGCGGCGCCCGCCACCTGCTCCTCGCCTTCCGTGACGATGCATCTCCGTTGCGGTGCTTTTCTTCGGCTTTTATTCCTGAAGCGCGTTTGTTTTGACCTCAAGCGGCCCCGCCGGCTTCCGTGTCGAAGCATCTGGTATGACGCCTCGCAGTCAATGTGAATTAATGGCTCGTTATGCAAATACAAACAACGCCGGCCTCCCTCTACCGGACAGGTAATGCTTCCGGATTAAAAACACTGATGGACTGACGAAAAAGTGGTCAAGATTTAAGGATTAGCGGTAGTGTTAAAAATCATATATTGCTTTTAAACCAGTCAGAAAACAAGGAGCGTGATAGTAACATCACACGACCCGCATTCCTTAAACTGTCAGGTACAATAGAAAAGGCCTAAGTGTAGTTCTGTGAAAGGTACACATTGCCATGTAGCAGGCCCCAGAAGTGGGTGATTTACCGTAGTTTAAAAATAACATTAGTGCTACGTACGCGGCATACGCGCCATGTACACCAATGGACGGAAGTTCACCCGGCACTCCGCTTCTGCGAGTGCGGGGCGCCGGAGCGTTTTCCCCTCCTTTCTTATAAATATCCGTTGGCTCGCGGCAGCTGCGCATGATGATTTGTGTCGGTCTCGACCTGACGCATTTCTTTATTTCTAACAAACACGGTTTATTCTCTCGTTCGCCTCTCTACAGACACCGTTAGAAACTCATAAGTTACGAGCTACTTAGGTCTGTGGGTTTCAAAAAGAAATAAGCTAATCTTTATTATAAATATTGGCATAGTGTACTTGAACATATCACACTATAAAAAAACAATTACCTGAAAGGCAACATTAGAAGCGTGGAGTTGGGATATCTTAACTCACGAGGGCTTTAGGTTTATTTATTTATTTATTGTACCCTCAGGGCCCGAGGGCATTACAGAGGGGAGTGGGTTACAAAGTAAAATCACTAAAAAACAAAATGACAACCTAAGAATAGAAACACGAACATAAGAAAGTTTAACTTAGAAAAGTGGTTAAACAACGCTTAAACATGGTGGCATCTGTTACAGACACAACTGACGATGGAAGGTGGTTCCACGTGATTGTTGTTTTGGGGATGAATGAATTATAAAAAGTAGTGGTTTTACAAACAGGTAGACCGATTTTGTGTTGGTGATCGACGCGTGGCGAGATATATGAGGGAGGGGTTAGTAATTTTTGATGCAAGGAAGAATTGTGATGATAAATTTTATGAAACAGACAAAGACGGGATAACTCACGACGTGAAGAAATGTTAGGTAGGTTTAAAAACGTTTTCATGGATGTTACGCTTGCACTACGTACGGTGATAGTTAGTAAGAATGAAGCGAACAGATCTATTTTGAATAGCTTCGACTGCTGTTGTAAGTAAGTCAGTACCGGGATCCCATATAGGGGAGGCGTATTCCAATTTTGAGCGGACAAGGGTTTTGTATAGTAGTAGCTTGAGAGATACAGGAACAGATGGAAAATTACGTTTGAAAAAGCCAAGCATGCGGTTAGCATTGTTAGTTATGTAGCGAATACGAGGCTCCCGAGACAGGTTCGACGAAATATGGATCCCCAAGTACTTATACGATGATACACCTTCCAACAAAACACTGTTTAGATAGTAGAAAGTAGAGTGCGGGTTAAGACGAGAAACAGTCATTACTTTACATTTGTTAGTGTTGAGCTGCATGTTCCATTTGTTACACCAATTAGAAACGCAATCAAGGTCAGACTGAAGGATAGCAACATCGGAGGCGTTAGTTATTTCTCGGTAAAGAACGCAATCATCTGCAAATAAGCTAATAGAGGACGAAACGCAGGAAGGTAAGTCGTTGATAAAAATAAGAAAGAGCAGGGGGACCTAACACTGAGCCTTGAGGTACGCCTGATGTCACGGGAGCTGGACTTGAAGAGGTATTAATCACAGACACAAATTGAGATCGGTTATTAAGGAAAGCGCGAATCCATGAAAGTACATCCTGATCAATGTTAAGTTTGCTAAGCTTATGGAGTAATAGATTATGTGACACCTTATTGAAAGCTTTGGCGAAATCAAGGAAAATACAATCCACCTGGGAACCATGATCAAGAATAAGGTGAAGGTCATGAGTGAAGGTGAGTAGCTGAGTTTCACACGAAAATGATTTACGGAAGCCATGTTGTGCAGGAGCAAAGAATGAATTGGATTCTAGGTGTTGAACGAGATGAGAAAAAATAATATGCTCAAGAATTTTACACGGAATGCTTGTTATGGAAATGGGACGGTAATTGAGAGGAGAATGATGATCACCGGTTTTATGCACGGGCACCACTTTACCCACCTTCCAATCGTCAGGTAAACAACCTAGAGTAAGTGATTGCTCAAATAATTTAGACAGTATTATAGAAGAATACTCTTTTGTTCTTAGCAAAAATTTAGAATTAATTCCGTCAACTCACGCGGAGCAGGATATTTTTAGCTGTTCAATTATCTTTATAATTCCACTTGTTTGAATTAAGATGGGATACATGGGCAGAAAAGCGCGTTGTTGAAGTTGAGGTAAAGTTGAAGAAATACAGTTTGAAAATGATTCAACAAAAGTAGAATTGAAAACATTTGCACAGTCATCGGAGGAAACAGGTTCACCTGATAAAGTAAACAGAGACAGTGTGGTGTTTTTATTGCCGTTAATCGCCTTCCAAAACTGTTTGACGTTGTTGGTTAGTAGTGATGGCAGGGTGATAGAAAAATAAACTGACTTTGCATCCGCGATTGCACTTTTATAAGCATTGGCAGCCTCATGATACTGGAGCCATTTAACCTCCGAATTTGTTAACTTTGCTGCACGAAATTTGCGCTTCTTTTTATTGGAAAGTCTTTTTAGAGTGTTATTGAACCAAGGGGAATTCGAAACAATTGGGATGTTACGTAGCGGTACATGTTTATTGGTTAGGAGCTCAACATGCGTCTTAAACAATGTCCAATTTAATTATAAAGAACGGTCAGAAAAGTGGTCTAAGTAATCGTTAAGAAAAAAGCCAAGGGCACCATTAATAGAGTCATAGTCACCTCTACCATAGTCTCGTATTGTTTTAAGAGTTCGCTGTGCTGTTTTGGCTGGCACATCAAGTGAAAAATGTAGTAGCGAATGGTCGCTGAGAGCCGGCATGAAAGTAACAGAAGAAATAAGTTCAGGTGAAGTTGACAAAATGAGATCTAATACGTTTGCAGTTGTAGCAGTGATTCGAGTAGGAAGAGACACCAGCTGCGAAAAGCTGAAGTCATCACATAACTTTATAAAATCTTCCGCATCTGATGAGAAAGGGTTAGAGAAAATATGCGGGTGAGACCATTTTATTTGAGGATAATTGAAATCACCAAGGAGGAGTATAGGAGATGAAGGAAAGCGCACTATTATTGAGTTCAAAACATCATGAATATTCGAAACAAAAGAAGGATTAGCTGATGGCGGACGATAACACACGGTTAAGATAACTTTTTGGAAGTTCAAACACAAGCAACAACAAACTATTTCTAAATCACTATTCAAACGCACACAGAAAGAATCAATGTGATCGGCAACTGCCAATAAAACGCCACCTCCATTTCGTGCACCCCTATCACAACGGTAGACATTAAAACGCTTATCACAACTGAATAATTCACAATTCCGAACATTCGATGACAGCGACGTTTCGGTTAAAGCTACTACGTCAGCGCTACAGGAATCAATAACTGAACACAATTCATCACGATGACGTAAAATACTCCTTATATTGCTAAAAAGTGCTGACACATTTTTGGAAAAAGGAATAGCACCCACGCCCCTTGCCACATGTTATGGTGAAGAAGACGCTTGATGTGTGTTACGAAGCATGTTAACGTTATCTCATTCGCGCCTATCAGATGAGGGCGTTTGATGCAAGTTAAGGGGAGGCCTGTTGACGTTATCACCTTCACTCCTATCAGGACCAGCACCGAGATCAAACACTTCGTCAGACACTGAGTTATACATATAACACCTCTTGTTAATAAACAGTTTATTGTAGCGTAGTTGAAACACATTTTTAGAGGCTTTTCCAAACTCAGTTAGTTTTTTCCTAGCTTGGCGGGTTGCTGGCGAGAAATCTTCACAGATGTAAATGTCACTACCTTTCAACTTAAAACGCGACGAAAATACATAATTTTTGACTTTATTGGAGGAGAATTTCACTATTGTTGGGCGACAGCGATTGGCACTAAAAGCACCGACGCGGTGTGAGCGCTCAATGCAGTCTGGGGGCACCTGTAACTCAAGAGAGCCAGAAGCAAGCTCGAGAACTTTTCTTTCAGTAACGGACAGAGTTTCGGACGGAGAATCCGCCAAACCATAAATAATTAGATTATCCCTACGTGATCGATCTTCAAGGTCGTTTAGACGGTCATTCAAAGTGGCGTTGTCATCATTTAATTTTTCAGCGAGACATTTTACTGTGTTGAAATCTTGGTCAACCAATTCAAGCGCAGATACTTTATTCTCGACAAGCGTAAGTCGATTACCGATGTCGTTAATTTTTCTTTCGATTGAACTCTGACTTTCTCTTATTTCTTTCACACTGTCTAGTAAACTGTTTTGCCCAACTTCAGATTTCAAAGATCTTTCATTCATATCCCTCACCAGCCGCATCAAATCTGCGAATTGTTTCGCTTGAACGTCGCTCATGGGGCCGGGATTAAGTTCAATGTCGCCCGAAAGTGCTAGTAACGATTTTACCACATCATAACACTCAATGACCGTAACACAAATAACACTTGGGCATGGAAACAGCAGAAGAACGACGTTATTCGTTCGTCTAGTATGTAACGACGGAGAGGAACCCACCTGTACAATGAAGCAGAACGGATTAGAAGACTGCATCCTCAGGCTGTTTCCATGCCCACTGACAGAACTGGCGACGTTCCACGGTTTTGAAGCCTCGTTGATTAGTGTCGATGTCGATGGGGTAGCTTCCTTGTGCCGGGTAAAGGCATACTGCGGCCAGTACGCGAGTACGCCAAAACGTGCGTCGGATTTATCTTGAAAAACTGGAAATCCTTCCGTGGCCAGCGTTGTTGTGACGATGACTTGAGAAAACGGCGATGCCCAGACAGGCGCTGAACACAGGCAAAGCAGGATCTGCACAATGAAGCAGAACGGATTAGAAGACTGCATCCTCAGGCTGTTTCCATGCCCACTGACAGAACTGGCGACGTTCCACGGTTTTGAAGCCTCGTTGATTAGTGTCGATGTCGATGGGGTAGCTTCCTTGTGCCGGGTAAAGGCATACTGCGGCCAGTACGCGAGTACGCCAAAACGTGCGTCGGATTTATCTTGAAAAACTGGAAATCCTTCCGTGGCCAGCGTTGTTGTGACGATGACTTGAGAAAACGGCGATGCCCAGACAGGCGCTGAACACAGGCAAAGCAGGATCTGTACAATGAAGCAGAACGGATTAGAAGACTGCATCCTCAGGCTGTTTCCATGCCCACTCTTGCCATATATTTGCAAATAGTATATAATATGCATACTGTAACCAATCTAAGAATTCTCTTAACCTACTAAACAAACAAACTTATAGCGGTGAAATTACTTTTACAGATAAAATAAAATAAAAAAAAATAAAAATCAACACTTGATATAATAATACCTCGCCCATCTTGGGACTCTTAATAGTATTTTCTTTAAAAAGACCACGGGGATTCATATTCCTTTTACTCGTCCGTCGACTTATGTAAAAATATGCACCCTTTTTTTTTGTTAAGTAGATGAAAAAGTTCGTCTCATCTGATGTCATGGTGTATTTTTTTAATGTATTAAAAGAAGCACAACGTTTTAGGTTTGTCTGTTATTTTCTTAATGTATCTGTTTTAAAATAGAATTTAAAAAAACTAACTTATGCACGCGCTTGTCTTATGAAGCCCGTTTCCTTGGTGTCGCACATGACATGGTGAGCATGTATTGTGCTCACAGTTTGTTTAAATAGACCTGCGGGTTACGTTTAGTAGTCCAGCTATTTAAAGACCGACGACCAGTTCACGCTTTCCACTTCTCCTCGCTTCCTCCTCTCCCACTTCCACACTGTTCACCGTTGCCTGTGTCACCCTCCCCCATGGTGAGAAGGATATTCTGCCTTGCAGAATCGCGTGTCTGGTTGACGGCCTTTAAGATAAATCGCGATCATTGGCAATGTTAGGCTTTGAGGGCTTGCGAGTATCGCTAACGCCAAAGCAGCTATAGAACTGGTATTTTTGTCGCGTGGTTTTCACATGCGATAAGAAAAATAAAGTGACTGCCCGCTCCCCACCTCTACGCATGCATGCACACACACACAATTCCAGCCCACCTCTGACCATATACCAGCCAGTGACATATTTACGACATTTAACTTCTATTTGAACCTTCCATTCTACTGAAGTTCTACATCGCTCAATATCTGAGAATGCATACGTCACCTAAACGCTATCGACGGGATCAAGTTATAATAGTGTTAAGGCCGACTGTGATAGCCATAAAAAGTCTACTGACGATGATACTCTGTTTGTTTCACGCCCATATATTACTAAGACTTAATAGTAATAAGAGGGCGTTGAAGAACGCTACAAGGTTCTCGAGCTCGGGCATTAAATATGCAACTCTACGCAAGGCACTTGCGCATATCATTTTCTGGCGTTACTAATTGACTACAAAATAACATGTTATGGATTCTACGTGTTGTCTGATTTCACTTTCTACGTATTTGAAAAAAAGTGAGTTGAGAGTTTGACGACTGCCGTTTTCATTGTGTATTTAGTATGCTCGGTGAACATTACATTAGGAACAAATTGTCTTGGTAATTAGGCCGATTAACTAAGATCCATTAGTTTTAGTTCTTTGAAGACGATTGTATTTGGTTTTCTGAGAATGCATTTGTAACTAGCACAACTGTGCGTTCAACTTACCGCATACATAACCCTAGTTCGGTCAACACTGGAAAATGCCAGCACTATTAAGTTACCATCATGAGCAGTACTTCATGGGTCGATTAAAATCTATAAATAAAATGCCGCCCGTTATATTCATCGTAACCGTACACCAAAATTTTGTATATCGGAAGTTAAGGCTATTTATACCTTAACTCAACTTGATTCTCGGCGCAAATTCTTTCATTGTTTGCCTATTTCACAATTTTTATTACAACATGCAATCGTCCATGCTCACCTTCTGTAAACCTGCCCTGATCTGTTTTTCATTTGCTTTACGATCACCCTTTCAAAAGTTAACTTCTATTCGGCTCGTACTAATAGACAGAAATATTGTCCTCTGGATCTGGCTATTGAAAATTGGAACTACCTCTCAAAAGATATAGGTAATTAGACTCACGAAATCATATTCGCTAAAAATAGTTCACCTCAATTTTTAATTTACATTGCTTTATATCACCATGTGCGATCATGTTTACTTGCTATGGCAAATATTGTTCCATTTTTGTTCAAATAATAAGCGTTTAATGTTTTATAGACTGCTCTCAGCTTGTGATTCTATCTTAGTTCTTTGCGTTGCCAATGAATTCAGTACTTTTTGATTCCCCCCTCCCTTCATGTATTATGTTCGGAAGAATGTAGGAATGTGAATTTTCTTGACGTCCTCAGAAGTCCAAGTCAAAACCTTTAAGGTACCATTATAAATTATATTACTAAGTAATGACAAAGAAACATAAAGAATATTTAATTTTTTAATGATCAGTATATGTAAACGTGAAAAACGTAGTACTAATGAAGGTAAATATCTCTTAAAATACGAAAACCATTATCTGAAACTATGTTGACGGTTTTCATTTGTATAATCTCTCCAAGCTTCATGTAGCCAATTAATATAGTGAATTTTGTATTTCGTATTAAAATTTAGGGCCCTGTTCACAACATGCAGTACTCTACTATGCATGCAGAGCACTACCACAAAATATGTATTGGTGAAGTTGATGAACGCGCAATTTTACCAGAATTGCGCTGCTCTGGGATTACTGTTCTTTTGCATAGTAGTTGCCTCACTCGTTCTTTAAGTTTTTTTTTGTTTTTAGGTTTTTTCAGTTCTTTTTCTTAGTCTGTGTGGGAAGCGCTATCTATCTGTGACTTGTACCTCTGTGACTCGCTTCCCGGATACAGTATTTTTTAAAATATGTCATCTTGATACCCCCAAGTATTTGGACTAGGTTGAGGACGATCAAATGATGTAAACATAAGCAAGCGGAACAGGAATTATAACCCCGAGAATCACCACAAAAAAAAACGTAAAGAAAAAGTGTTTGCTTTATTACATTTAGTTTATTCAAGATAAAGCTTGAATTATAGAAATATTTAAAAAATGGTTTCACAGAAAACAAAATAAAACAAGGTACGACAACTCAATATTCTTTTGGGTGGCATTAATGCGCGGGCCTAACGACAGCTATTTTTAATTGATTTGATCATGCCGGAATAGAGTATTTGTATTTAGTTTACTTTGTATTAAAATACTTACAAACCTATAGTTTAGTCCCTATGACGAAATGCGATGTAAACATATAAAAAACGATTGAATCTGAATTATAGAAAAAATTAAAACAACTTGTTAAATGCAAATCGTAGGTTTTTATTTTACTTAGAAGCTTGTAAGTGAAGCCAAATAAAATTTCTGTTGATGATAAAGATGTACTTTTAGAACCGAAAAGAAACGGCCAGTACATTTTATTGTGCCTATGCAAGGGTCTATGGAAGTAGTAACCAAGTGACATGCTGGTAACGGTCTTTAAATTAAACAAAATGAAAACGAAATGCCTCGTGATCAGCTATATTAACGGAAGCCGCCTTAGAGTCTTAAGTGTTAAACCTGTAATATCCAGTAAACATCTACATCCGCCAGCGTTACTTCGTTGTTCTCAGCGTTACTTCGTTGTAAGATGCATTGTATATTCTTGTTAGTGTCTTTCATAGTTGTCATAGCCTGTCTAAGCGACCGCCGACAGCGCTGCATAAGGAGAAGAATCAGTCTTGAAAAGAGGCCTAGTTGAGTCCGCCATGCGCGTGTTGTGGGCATTGTAATGTCTCGAGGATAACATTGCGTAAAGGCGAAGGCAACATATAGAAACTTCCTGTTAAGACAGAATGGGGGAACAAGATATCACAGACGTCTGTTCCGCTATAAGTCGCTCTCCGTTTTTACAGACCACGAAAGCTTCAGCAGCCGCTAGCAAAGAAACTAAGACGAGAGCACCACATGGGCTTGCTCCCACTTTCTGTAGGAACTTCTAGAAACAACTTTCAGGGTTTGCGACATTCAACAGCATGACGCGTAGGCTCGTGTGACGTGATGTTATAGGACAATAAACGCAGCCGTCCAAGACCCGTGCCAGGCACAGACTGGTGCGTCTGCGCCTTTCTCTCTAAGTGAGGCCAACGCGACGCGCCGAACTATGGCGTGCAGAGAAAGAAAACGCTTTGGTTGGGTCTACAGGGAGCTCCCACATCTGGCGCTCTGGCTGGCAGTTTGTAATCGAAGTACATGAGCGGACGGTCACTGCATCACACCAAGGGCCATCATCTTGGCACTTGGCGAAAAAGTCAGTGAGAAATCCGGCGGCTATGATTGGCCGGCGCCAAGGTCCAGTGTGGCGTTGGCCAATCACAGCCGCCAGATTTCTCGCCGACTTTCTCAACCAGTGTCCAGATGAGGTCTTCTGGAGTGCGCACAATTCGCTCCTATTACCTACCCTGTAAAGGGTGCATTTGTGCATTAATGGTGTTATGGTGGGGAAGCTCCTCTCACGAGGCACAAACATAGGCAAATTAAATTACTGGCTTCACTCTAAAAAAAAAAAAAAAAAAAAAAGGTGTATTCTTACATACTTTTTTCCATATAATACACCCCAACACTCCAGTTGGATGTACAGCGCACTGACGTTTTACCGACGCTGCCAAATTTTACGAGCGGCTTGATAGCCGAGTTGTGCATCTTATTAAAATGATTAACATAAATGTGACCGACTGCAAAAAAGTTAACGTGGCTTTCCTGGCTCAACTGCAAAACCTTTGTGTTTTATTTATCTAGCTTTGATACGTACATTAGCTATTTAATATGTTACATCGCACCGTCATCAACCCTATCGAAAAAGGTGGGAAGCCAGTTCGACGTCAGCGCGCTGTATGTCGAAGTGAAGTTTTTTGGGTGTCTAATATGTGACAGAGGCTGTAAGAATATACCTTTTTTAGAGTGTTATCGATAATTCGATTTCTTTACTTTATGGCACTTCGCGAAGCGTGTGACGTAGTAATAGTAAATTAAGTATTTCATAAAAAGTCACGCATTTCTTCGTCCAAACGCGACGGGATTTGAGGATAGGTTCACAGGAACATCATTATTTAAAGCGATTAAAAAAGAAAATGATATTGTTACAAAATAGTTTTAATATGCAGTGCACGCATCGAGGACGACGAGAAGAACGGTGCCTAGGACGACGTCAATTACGG